CCTCCTCCTCTCAGCATTAAAGTCAGCCTGTGAGAGCCTGAACGTCTTGATTCATTATCTCCACGACCGGACTCTTCATCAAAGAACTCCGAGGATGGCTCTGTGTGTTTCAGCTGGTGAGTTTACGTTTGTTAGCGTAACTGCATCTTAACACGTACATCGCGGTGAAATAAATTATGACCCATGTAATGCTAACGTTAAGATATTAGTGTGTAAATTAATTTTATCTATGTGGCTAGCTAAACTCAGAAGCTAACTAAAGATTGACAGTAACATAAATCTTAGCTTGTAAAACTACTCATCCATCCAGTCAGCTGCTTAAACAGTTCACCTTATGTTCACTGTTTATGTTAATGTTCTCCTCACAGGAGGTTCTGACCCTGATGCGAGGAGGACAAGAGAAAAGCGAGGTGGGGGTGCCACAGGACAGTCAGACTTTGTTGTTAAAAGTTTGCTGCTTTTTCTACACTGGAGCTGCATGGTGGAGGTAAGTAAACTGTAAAGGATTTTGTTGACCAGTTAAGCTTTTCTCTCTCAGCCTACATAATGTTTTTTGAGTAATAATAACACAACCATGTTATTGTTGATATTTTGTTCTCATGTCATTTAGGGAGATGATCAGAGCCCTAAACCCCAGAGAATCCCAGAGAAGATTCAGGAAGAGACCCCTCGGCACTATTTTCCACAAGCACAATATCGATTTCCACTGTTATGCGGATGACACCCAGTTCTATGTTTCCAGTAAGCCCGCCTCCAACCTCCCGCCATCCTCGCTTACCGACTGCTTGACTGAAATAAAATCCTGGTTCACCTCAAATTTTCTTAAACTTAACAGTGACAAAACAGAGGTTCTTCTCATTGGTACAAAATCCACACTGGCTAAAACCAAAAATTTCAGTATTGACATTGATAACCGTTCCATTTCTCCCTCCCCTCAGGTAAAGAGTCTAGGTGTCATCCTCGACAGCACTCTTTCTTTCCAGTCTCATATCAACAACACCATCCGTTCGGCTTATTTTCACCTACGCAACATCAACCGCCTCCGCCCCTCCCTTACTCCCCATTCCACTGCCATCCTTGTTCACTGTCTGGTTACATCGCGCCTGGACTATTGCAACTCCCTTCTGTTCGGTCTCACCCACAAATCTCTTCATAAGCTCCAACTGGTCCAGAACTCAGCTGCCCGCATCATCACCAAAACCCCATCCATTCATCACATCACTCCAGTCCTGCAAAAACTCCACTGGCTGCCAACCAAGTTCCGCATAGATTACAAAATTCTCCTGTTCACTTTCAAGGCCCTCTACAATCTCTCCCCACCATATCTTTCAAATCTTATTCATATTGCCATTCCCTCTCACTCCCTCAGATCATCCTCCTCCATCCTTTTGACTGTCCCCTCCGCCCGTCTCACCACCATGGGGAGCAGAGCCTTCAGTCGCTCTGCTCCCCGACTTTGGAACTCGTTACCACCTCACATTAGAAACATAAAGTCAATCTCACAATACAAATCAGAACTCAAAACACACCTTTTTAGATCTGCTTTTTCCACCTGACACAATTGGTTTTGCCTGATTTTATATTGATTTTATATTGATTTTATACATTGTCTTTTTTCTTCCTTTCTTTTTCTTTTCTTTTCTTTTCATCTCTTAGTTTCTGTTACTGCTGATTTTATTCTTTGTACGGTGTCCTTGAGTGCCAGAAAGGCGCCTTTGAAATAAAATGTATTATTATTATTATTACAGTGGTGCAGATGTCTGCATCAACCCTACCTCATTGAATCCAGTGACCTGCTGGTGGAATGTGAGGGACAATATGTCAGTGCTGTCAAACTGACAACCAGGTATCTGTGTGTGCAACAAGCATCATGTACACCCTCAGAGTTAACATTTTCTGCTGCTGGAGACACCATCAGCCAGGAGTGGGCTTGTTTGTGTCCAGAGAAAACAGACATGTTGATTTTTCTGAAGAAAAAACTGTGAAGTGAAAAGGTCCTCAGTGTGTAGCAGTGAACATTAGACACTGACGTGTCACTGGTTTGTAACTGGTCTTTTGACCTGGAAAGTATTTGTTTGTTTTTATGTAAGAAAACTGCTTGGAATAGAAAAATACCGAAGTTAAAAAATAAAACTCACAATTTGTACTGTAATGTGTAACATAATTTTATTCTTGTTAGAATTAATAGTAAGTACAAAACTGGTACCGAAAAAAGAACCATCCAGGAACCGATACCGAAGTGAACGTACCGACACCGGTACCGGTAGATACCGTTTTTTTTTTTTTTTTAGAAAGGTACCCAGCCCTAGCCACCTCCCTCTTTGATCTATGTCCTATCTCCTTATTTTCCTGTCTCCTCTCTTCCCGTCCTCTCACGGTCATATTTCTTCTTGGCTAACCTCTTTCTTTGAAAGGCATCCTGCACTTCACTATTCCACCACCAGGTTTCATTATCATCCATTCTCTGTCTAGATGACACAACAAGTACTTTCCTACCTGTCTCTCTAATTACTGTTGCTGTAGTAGCCAAGTCATTTAGAAGCTTTTTATTACTACCCAGAGCCTTTAACAGCTCATCTCTGAATTTGTCACAACATTCTTCTTTTCTCAGCTTCCACCATTTGGGCTTCTTCTCTGATTTTACTCTTTTTCACAAAAACAGTCATTCTACACACAACCATATGATGCTGTCTGGCCATGCTCTCCCCTGCCACAATCTTACAGTCTCCAATCTCCCTCAGGTTTCCTCTTCTACACAGAATGTAGTCTACTTGCGCACTCCTTCCTCCACTCTTATAGGTCACTCTATGTTTCTCCCTCTTTTGAAAATAGGTGTTGACTATAGCCATTTTCATTCTCTTGGCAAAATCCACCACCATCTGTCCTTCCTGGGTTCTTTCCTTGACACCAAGCCTACTTCCTCATCCCCTCTGTTTCTTTCACCAACATGTCCATTCAGATCTGCTCCAATCACCACTCTCTCCTCCCTGGGAATACTCTCACTTCTACCAGATCTTTCCAAAATGTATATTTCTCCTTCACATCACATCCAACCTGTGGAGCATAACCACTGACAATATTTAGCATTAGACCTTTGACTTCTATGTTCAGGCACATCACCCTATCTGACACTCTTTTCACCTCGATTACATTCTTTGCCAACTCCTCCTTCAGAACCACCCCTACTCCTTTTCTCTTTCTATCAACACCATGGTGTCACATATCACCAAATAAAGTGGCATTACAGTGATTTTTCTGGTTAGAGATTTATGAGTCTAACAGCTCCAGGGTAAAAGCTGTTCCTCAGTCTAGTGGTTCTACACTTAATGCTCCACAACCTCCTGCCTGAGGGGAGCGGGGCAAAAAGCGTGTGTGCTGGGTGAGTGGAGCCCTTCAAGATACAGGTGGCCCTCTTCCTGCATCTGGATGTGTGGGTTTCTGTGATGGTGGGGAGACTGACTCCAACAGTCTTCTGTGCAACCTTCACCACTCTCTGCAAAGCTTTTCTTTCTCCAGCTGTGCAGCCCTCGTGCCACACATTGATGCTGGAGCACAGAATGCTCTCCAGTGCAGAAGGAGGTAAGGACTGAGCTTCCCAGTCTAGCTTGCCTCAGCTGCCTGAGGAAGTAGAATCGCTGATGTGCTTTCTTGATTAGGCTGGTAGTGTTGTTGCCCCAGCTGAGGTTGTTATTCTGGTGCACACCCAAGTACTTGTAGCTGGAGAACACCTCAACTGCAGATCCTCCTATTTCAGGGTGGGGGGTGGTGTTTGCTGCTTATGAAATCCACAACAATCTCTTTCATCTTCTTCACATTGATGTGAAGGTTGTTCTTCCTGCACCAGCTCTCCAGGTGTTCCACCTCCTGAGTGTAGCCAGACTCATCATCTTGAAGGAATGCATATCACCTGCTACCTTACGGCTCAGTTTCAGACAATTATCTTGTGTGATCTGTAGCCTTCTGACCATATGTGTCACATTTCTGCCCCCACCTGTCGTAGTTTCTGCTCCTTCATGCCACAGTCCTTGTTTTTTCCTGCTTTTATTCATGCCTTCCTGTTTTTGTTTATCCTGCTTTATGCTCTGCTGCAGCCACTCCTCACCCACTCTGTTCCTCCACAGCAATCAGCCCTGATTCCATGCACCTGTTCAGCTCACTACTTAAGCTTCATGTTCACAGTCTTTCAGAGCCAGATTGTCGAATACCTTGAGTTTGTAGATGTCCAGAGTCCATGCCATAGCTTTGCCTCTCTCTCCTGGTTTGACCCCACGCCTGTCTTCTGGTTTCCTTGCCTTGCTTAATCCTTACCTATTCTGTACTCTGCTTTCTGACTACAGTAATAACTCTGCTTATGATTATCACAACTTCTCTCTTTGGATCACGTTTCAGATTTCGATTCAGATTTCTGCCCAACGGTTTTCGACCCATGCCTGCTTCACCGGACCTCACCCTTGGGATTACCCCTAAAACTACTCTGCTGGATCACTCTCTACTGCTGCCTGCTCACAGCCCATGATGTCATCCTGCTGAACCAGCTAAAGGATTACCTCTCAAACTCGACTGTGAAGGTTAGTGACTCTGAACTTTATTACCCTCTGAATCATCACAGTCCTACCCAGTTCACGGACTCTCATATCTCTGCAGATTGGACCCGTGCTTAGAACCAAACCCCCACCAGCGACGATTTATTGACATTTTAACCATTCCTGGTGTTCAGTGTCGTGCACGAATCCTAAAAACCAGTCTTGTCAATGTGTTGGGGTTTACTGTCAGCCACCGTTGGGGTTTACTGTCAGTTTTCACCGCACCAGATTTGAGCTCATCTGTAAAACTGAAAGCATTGAAGACAGTTTTGTGTTGGATAAGAGTGATTAGTTGTGGCAGCCATTTTGAATCGAGTTCACACACAGGAACACACAAAGACGGAGGTAGTTGCATGATTGCTTGCCTTTCACAGTGATGGGTAATAAGAATACGTGTTAAAGGTGTGCCTCGCTCACCTTGTAGAATGAGTCCATGGACAACAGCACAACCCACGGCACGTCCAAGGCCTCAATGATATTAGTGGCCACGGTGGTCTTCCCTGAAGCTGTGCCCCCACACAACCCTGCAGACCCACACAAATCCAAAGGTTCAGAATAATGTTTTCATCCCTTCTGTTACATGCAGTTTTTCATTTCTTGGACATAGTGCGTTTTCTTGTACATGCAAAAACATGTGCACATGTTGTACATTCTTAAAATGATCCTTCTCTATTCAAATCTCTTGAATCTTAAGTATGCTATTTTTAACAACTGCACAGTATTTTTTTCCTCATGCTGTAAATTTTCCCTTACTGTACAGTCTCATTCATTTTCTGTTTTTTATATTTTCTACCCTTGTATTAATCTGCATTGTTTACGCAAGTCACTTTGCTGCTGGTACACATGAATGTCCCCACTGAAGGACAATAAAGGTTATTTCTAACCTTCTATTCTATTATCTATAATTATAATAACAATGATAATAATAATAATAACAATGACATTATTAATAATAACAATAATAACATTAACAACAACAATATAACATTAATATTAATCTCTTCTTTCAACTATTCCCTTCTTCAGGGTTTGCCATGACAAACTAACTCGCACGAAGACTTGTCAATTATTTTTATGCCAGATGCCCTTCCTTACCCAACCACGGACCACCGAGTTCCCACAGCCTTCTGTGTGAAGCAGAGAACTAATATCTAGGGCAGGGGTGTCCACAGTTTTTCAGCATGCAAGCTACTTTTAAAATAACCAAGTCAAAGTGATCTACCTACTATAGGGCCCCATTTACACGAGAACAACTTCTTGAAACATTATTGTTTTTTCAATGTTTATAGTGGGTAAAAAACAAAAAAGGAGTGAATTTACACAAAAAAACTGTACATGTAAGTTGGGTTGCCTGTGATTGGGAGGAATGGCCTCTCTGATCTGAACCTGAACAGAGTTCTGTTGTTGGACTTCTGTGCTAGTCATAGTTTGTCCATCACGAACATCATGTTCGAACATAAGTGCACTTGGCACCAGGATGCCTTAGGTCGTAGATTGAGGATTGATTTCATAGTCATGTCATCTGATTTGCAGCCATTTGTTTGAACACTTGGGTGAAGAAAGGAGCTGAGCTGTCAACCTGGTAGTGAGTTGGCTCAGATGGTGGAGGAAGATGCCAGACAGACCTTGTAGACCCAAACATGTAGTGAGGGTTTGCTGGAAACACCTGGCAGAAGAACCTGTCAGAGAGATCTTTAACTCACACCTCCGGGAGAGATTTAACTGCATCCCAGCTGAGGTGGGGGATATTGAGTCTGAGTGGGCCATGTTCCGCACCTCGCTTGTTGAGGTAGCTGCCTTGAGCTGTGTTCACAAGGTTGTTGGTGCTTCTCGCGCTGGCCATCCACAAACTCGGTGGTGGACACCCTGGGTTAGGGAAGCTATCAAACTAAAGAAGGAGTCCTATCGGGCCTTGTTGGCCAGTGGCACTCTGGAGGCAGCTGAGGAGTACCGGAGGGCTAAGCGGTCTGCAGCCTTGGCTGTTACTGAGGCAAAAGCTCGGATGTGGGAGGAGTTCAGTGAGACCTTGGATAAAGACTCTCGGGCTCCAAGGAGATTCTGGCAAACCATCAGACGGCTGAGGATGGGAAAGCAACACTTTACTAACACTGTGTTCAGTGAAGGTGAGGTGCTGTTGACCTCAACCAGTGATGTAGTTGGGAGGTGGAAGGAATACTTCTTGGACCTTCTCAATCCCACCAGCACAACTTCCATGGAGGAAGCTGTCGGTTGACTATGGGGATGATCTGCTCATAACTGTGGCTGAGGTTGCCAAGATAGTTAAAAAGTTCCGAGGCAGCAGGGCTCCGGGAGTGGATGAGATTCACTCTAATTTCAATTAGGCTCTGGATGTTGTAGGCTTGTCTTGGTTGACACACCTTTGCAATGTTGCATGGACATTGGGGGCAGTGCCACTGGATTGGCAGACTGGAGTGGTGGTTCCCCTCTTCAAAAAGGGGGACCGGAGGGTGTGCTCCAATTATAGGGGCATCACGCTCCTTAGCCTCCCTGGTAAGGTCTATTCAGGGGTACTGGAGAAGCGAGTCCGATTGTTGGTTGAACCTCAGATCAAGGAAGAACAATGTGGGTTCCGTCCTGGCCATGGAACACGGGATCAGCTCTTTACCCTCACTAGGGTCCTCGAGGGGTCATGGGAGTTTGCCCATCAAGTCTACATGTGCTATGTGGACATGGAGAAGGCATTCAACTGTGTTACTTGGGGTACACTGTGGGGGGTGCTCCATGAGTATGGGATCGGGGGCCCATTGTTACAGGCTGTTTCGTCCCTATAGAAGTGGTGCGAGAGTTTGATTCACATTGCCGGTAATAAGTCAGACACCTTCAAGGTGGGAGTTGGACTCTACCAGGGCTGCCCATTGTCACGGATTCTGTTCATAACTTATGGACAGAATTTCTTGGTGCAGCCAGGGGGTGGAGGGTTTCCGGTTCGGTGGCTTCAGGATTCCATCTCTGGTCTTTGCAGATGATGTGGTCCTGTTGGAGTCATCATGCCGTGATCTTCAGCTCTCACTGGAGTGGTTCACAGCCAAGTGTGAAGCAGCTGGGATGAGAATCAACACCTCCAAATCTGAGGTCATGGTCCTGAACCGGAAAAGGGTGGATTGCTCTCTTCGGGTCGAGGGTGAGGTTCTGCCTCAAGTGGAGGAGTTCAAGTATCTTGGGGTTTTGTTCACTAGTGAGGGAAGAATGGAACGTGAGATTGACAGACTGATTGGTGCAGCATCTGCAGTATTGCGGACTCTGTACCGGTCCATTGTGGTGAAGAGAGAGATGAGCTGCAGGGCAAAGCTCTGTGTTTACCGGTCGGTCTACATTCCTACCCTCACCTATGGTCATGAACTCTGGGTAGTGACAAAGAATGAGATCGTGGATACAGGCAGTTGAAATGAGTTTCCTCCGCAGGGTAGCTGGACTCTCCCGTAGAGATAGGGCAGTGCTTCTCAATTATTTTCTGTTATACTCCCCCAGGAAGAAGTAAAAATTTTGCACCCCCAACTCTCCACTGTAACTGTAAATAGTATAATTTGTCTATAAAATTTTATAAGTACACTTCTGCATAACATTGTGTCCTTATCAACATTAAAGAAAAAAAAAGAGTATAGATCAACTTACCATGAAGAATAACTTTAACACTAGAAGTCCCAGGAATTTCGACCTCCCCCCAGAAGTCCTGAAAAAGGGTCAAAAGACCCTTAGCACTAGAGTGACTAGATTTTCAAGATCCTGAGGACAAACCCCCTCCTTCTCCTCAACAATTTGCGGGCCATTAACTGCCATTTGTTTTAAATATGCACACAAGTAACTCAGACACACCCACCTCACCAGACTGCATCCCAATGTCCAATCCAGGGAGCGGGGGATTTAGAAGCCAGGTTCACTTGCGCAAAAAAGCGCAGCCTTAGTCAAAGTAGTCCTCCAAACCGGACAACTCTGATGGCTCCAATTAGCATCCTTTCATTTGTAAATGTGGCCATTGCCTTAGGAATCAGCAGGGGAGAGATAAGTTGAACTCACACAAACGTCCGTCTAATACTCCAAACAGATGCAAAATCAACTGGTTATATTTTGAACTTATATCTCTTGGTGGCACGTTGGTGCACATTTTGAACAAATTGAAGTCAATTTACCGTTTATTTTTCAATTGGTTTGGCTCATTTCTTGAAACCGAGATGACATTCTCAAAACACCATGTGAAACACAACTCAAGAGACTTTGCATTTTGAGGTTACTGACAATTTGTATGAAACACATATTTTGTTTTGAAGCATACATGAAGTGTTTTGGGAGAGATGCATTATCCAGGTCATTTTGCCAAATGAACAAAACAAAACAAAAGTTTGCAAAACATACAATCTGTTTCAAGATATATGCAAAAGTTTTTCTAAAAGATTTTAGTAATGTTTTTCTTTCAGAAAAAAGAGAAGTGGGATCAAAATGACAGTTTAGAAAAAAATAACCAAATTAATTGTGAGAAGAAGGCACGCAAGGAGAAACTGCTTCAGCAACAACCTTCCACACCCAGCCCTGGCAAAAGGGCAAAGTGTCAGATCAAACATCGATGCACGAACAATTGTGCAACTGTGAGATGCGTCAACTGCTACAAATACACATGTGGCAAATGTACCAGGGACATACCCTGGCAGTGCCAGGTATGTTTCGACAGTGCAGATGGACTGCTGAGTGAGTGCTGAAATGCCAGTCACATAAGGAGGACATGCCACTCACACACACGCAGCCCCCCCACTAGAGCATAGTGTAAATATGTGTAGAATTGTTTTATCCCTTGTATTTTTATGACAAAAATAAAAAGCATGGAAACAAATAACGGTTGTTGTTTTTTATATTTCTCATGCTGAAGTTTTAGTCCTCTTGACTTACACACAATTGCTTATGGTCTGTGCTTTTTTGCTCAAAACTAAGCTAAATACTATATATATCAAAACAAAATATGTGTTTCATACAAATTGTCAGTAACCTCAAAATGCAAAGTCTCTTGAGTTGTGTTTCACATGGTGTTTTGAGAATGTCATCTCGGTTTCAAGAAATGAGCCAAACCAATTGAAAAATAAACGGTAAATCGACTTCAATTTGTTCAAAATGTGCAACAACGTGCCACCAATATATATATAAAAAATCTTCATATTATAAAATACAATAAACTGAATATAACTAACTAGAAACTAAATGGCTAAACTCAATGAAAAACAGTTAGTTGGGAGTTAAGCGTGCCCCCTCCTGTGGTGCACCAGTAATGGCCTTATTTACAAAACAAAAGCGCCTGTTAACAGCTCATTATAGGATGTTAGCTAAAATCCTTCAGGTCACTCGACCCGTCTCTGGGTTCCAAAGGTAGAAATGTTAAATGACCCTTCTCTGGGACTTCTAGTGTTAATAACATTTTTTTTAGTCTGTAACAGAAACAACTTAAAGTGCATCAATTTGCCTCAAAAATAAAACTTAAATCCCTATTTAAACTGTAAACATTTTTGACCATTTGATACTGAGAAATAAAATTAAATAGAATCCATCCATCCATCCATTATCTTTTACCCGCTTATTCCATTTTGGGTCACGGGGGTCGCCGGTGCCCATGTCCAGCAATTACTATGCGAGGGGCGGGGTACAACCTGGACAGGTCACAAGTTCATCACAGGGACACATAGAGACAAACGAGACAAACAACTATTCACTCTCTCACTCACACCTAGGGACAATTTAGTGTTACCAATCAGCCTAATATGTATGTTTTTGGTCTGTGGGAGGAAATCGGATTACCCGGAGAAAACCCACGCATGCACAGAGAGAACATGCAAACTCCACCCAGGAAGGCCCCTGGACCGGGATTTGAACCGGCAACCTCCTTGCTGAGAGGCAGCAGCTCTACCAGTTGCGCCACCGTGCTGCCCAAAATGAAATATAATCAATAAATAATAATAAATTCAAATTGATCAGCAACATTTTAACTCAGGAGTGTTATATAAAACATTTTCACCTACTAAACAAAAATAAATAAAACAATGGGCTGATTTAAAAAAAAAAGCATGTTCCCCGGGGTAACATGCGCTCCCCCGGCATTGCCTTGGGCCCCCCCATGGGGGGCACGCTCCACTATTTGAGAAGGACTGAGATAAGGTGAGAAGTTCAGATATCCAGAAGAGGCTCAGCATGTCGAGAAGAGCCAGTTGAGGTGGTTCAAGCATCTGGTAAGGATGCTCCCTGGGTGCCACCCTAAGGAGGTGCTTCGGGCATGTCCGACTGGGAGGAGACACGGGAAGTCCCAGGACATGCTGGAGAGACTATGTCTCTCGGTTAGTGTGGGAACGCCTTAAAATCCTTCCAGAAGAGCTGGAAGAGGTGACTGTGGAAAGAGATGCCTGGGCCTCCCTGCTCAAGCTGCTGCCCCCGTGACCCGACTTTGGAATAAGCGTAAGATAATGAATGGATGGATGTTAATCATGAATGTAGTACTCCCGACCACCTTGTGCATGTGCATATTGTCTTTTTCCAAATTTGTGTCTTCTGCATCTATCTATCTATCTATCTATCTATCTATCTATCTATCTATCTATCTATCTATCTATCTATCTATCTATCTATCTATCTATCTATCTATCTATCTATCTATCTATCTATCTATCTATCTATCTATCTATCTATCTATCTATCTATCTATCTATCTATCTATCTATCTATCTATCTATCTATCTATCTATCTATCTATCTATCTATCTATCTATCTATCTATCTATCTATCTATCTATC